TATTTTCTCTTCTTTTGATTTTTATTGTTTCTTGATATCTCATGGAATCACTGACTTTCACTTATTAAATTCTAATTTCTAAGAGTAGTTTTCTTAGATATGGTTTTGTACTTCTTTTGCTATTTGGCCAATTCTAAATTTTAAGGTGCTATTGTTCTACAAAGATGTTAATTCTCTTTTCATAATTTTCTTGCATTGCTCTCATTTCTGTTCCCAATTTTAATTTATTGCCTTCATTGTATTTTAAAATAATTTCTTGCTCTTTTTTTTTTAAAAAAACCTCTTTAATTTTTTTTTTTTTTAGAAATTCTTGTTGGACTTGTGTCAAATGTGCATTTTTCTTTGAGACTTTGCTTTTAGATGTTTCCAAGTTGTTGTCTTCTTCTGAGTTTGTGTTTTGAATTTCTTTGTCACCGTTGAAGTTTTTTATGATCAAGTCTTTTTTTTTTGTTTACTTAGTTTTTCCCAGCATATTTCCAGACTTTGGACTTTATGTTAGAATTAGACTCTACTCACTTCTGAAGGTGAAGGGGATGTCTCACCTCATGTACTATGTTTTATTTTCTTTTGCTGCTTTCACAGTTCAATGGGGACTTGTAAGTTTTTAGTGCTTCCACACATAGAGTGATCTGGGGAGATGTCTGGTTACTGACCTCTTAGTCTATGCTCTGGTTCTTACCCTGAATGGGCCCCTGCTCCCTTGTGACTGAGTCTGCTCCTTTCTCACTGCAGAAACTGGGACCTAGAACTGGGAAATGGGTGGCAGAGCTGCTAGAACACATCTATTCTGCTTCCAGGGATAGTATAATGGTCCCATAGTGCCCCTGTCCAGAACCCAATCCAATATCGGAAGACCTTTCTTTTTGTCTTCCTAAGGTTCCCTGAGCTAGAAAAATAACTCATTATGACTTTTAATTGGCTTTCATGCCCAGAATTTGGTTTGGTTGTGTTGGTAGAGCTCAACAAAATGCTGTCCTCACTTAGCTATCTTGACTCTACCTCTGATAATATTTGTAAAACATTTAGCATCATGCTTGGCACATAGCAGGAGCTTAACAAATATTTCCATCCTCTTCCATTAGATGTAAGCTCCTTGAGATTAGGAATTCTTTCATTCTTTTAATCCCTAGTACCTACCTGCATGTAGTAGATGTTTAATAAATATTTGTTGATTCATTGCCTTTCCTGGGATCATAAGACCAGTCACGAGAAATATTGGGGCTAGAACTCCCCCTGACTCTCCATAGTTTTCTTTCATTGCTGTCTGTGTGAATGTAGGAGTCCTTATGAGAGTTGCCGAAAGGATTACATTGCATTTGATTTATGGCTGTATTGCCACATTGGGCCACATCAGTTTAATCTAAGCAACGGAAGTTTAAAAGATGATTATTCCTCAGAATTTCTTTAACTTTTGTTTGGCTCCCTTCCTTAAAGGAGGTATACATTCTCTCTCACTCTGGAACTACAAACTGACTCCAGTACAGGAGTATTATTGTGGAGCTCTAGGGGAGGGGCTAAAAGGCAGATAATAATTGTATCTAAATTGTCAGTAAATAGCTCTCTTCCTATAGCTAAGAGCAACTAGGCTCTAGTGTAAAGAAACTTTGTGCATGTAGTGGTTCAGAAGAAAGCCTGAGATTTCCCATCAGACTGACTCAACTCAGGAAATGTTCCTATCATTGACACAAGAAATGACAAGGGGATTGGGAATTCTCCAAAGTGGAAGAAGTGAGAGCAAACTTCAGAAAAAAATCTACCCAAATAGAGCAAAGGATTTTGAGACTTGGCTATGAGAAATAGAAGGTTTGGAATATGAACATTGCTCTTTGAAAATAATTTTGTGATGTTGGAATAAAGCCAAGAATGGGGCTAATCCCACTCATGTATTAGTGATTGAGTAAGAAAGTCTCTAGTACTACAGAAACTGGGTTTTTCATTATCTAGGGGGTAGAGGTGTTTGTACTAATGGCACTGGGGAAGAATTTGATCCTTTCACATGTATGTGTGAATTTTTCAGGGTCTTTATGGGAGAAATTTTTGGGGGAAAAAAGAAGGAATAACAAGAAGCTGTAATGGAGGAAGGGACAAATGGACCATGTCTAACTCAGAGGAAATCTATTTTTCTTTTGCAAACTAGCACAAAATATTACTAAGATAAGCCCATCCTTCCTGAGCACAACCTCTGAAAATGGAGTTGTTTAAGAAAAAAGATGGTCATGTGAATCAATTATTATTAGCTTAATAGGGCTGCTTCCTGCCCCTTTTTAAAAAAGAGTGACATTCAATATCTTCATTAGTAATGCTCTCATTTAAACATGGTTACTCAAATATCACCCAAAGATTATGTTTTATGAAAAATTGTTTCTAGAAAGATCATGGGTGGGGCCCTGGAGGAAACCTTCCTTAGGATATGAACAAAGCCCCACTTTTCACATCACAGGCAGCATGGGTTTTTTTTTTTCTTTTTCCTTTCAGATAATGTTGCAAATCCATTTTCTTTAGACAGTGATTAGAATAAGTATTGTCAGTGGTTGGGGAGAGTACATTATGAATGATTTTACTTTAGTCCATTTAAAAAAAAAAGAATAAAATCAATAAGCTCTTCCTGGCATTTTAAACTCCCCTAATCTGACCTTTCCTGTCCCCAGCTGCCCCCCCTTCTCTTCTTCCTTCCCAGAAGACTAAAATTCTCGGAATTTCTGGTTAAGCCTAAGGGCAAATGGTGCTTTCTCCTAGATGGCAAAAAGGTAACATTTGGGGCTCTTTGGGGAATAGTGAACTTCTAAGACCTTTTTGGGAAACAGGTTCCTTAGGTGAGCAGTGACAGCTTGTCCCAAGTAGATATAGCCATGCCTCAGAGTTGTCTTAATGGAAATGTTTCTGGGAGCTGGAGTTCTAATCAATAGTCTTTTCCTGGAGTGACGTGCACAGAGGTCTATAATTGGGATAGATGAATGAGTTCAATAAAAATGTCCACTGGTCCAGTGACTCCTCCCAAAGCTCTTTGCAAACAAAACTGCACCTTTCTAGGATCTGGGCATGTCTTTATCTTTTATAAGCTACCTTGTCCTGATTTATTCTGACACATAAAGAAATGGAAAGGTATCAGTTTTGGGGTTGCTTGTCTTATGGCAGGCCAGATACATTGGAAGAGCAGGATTAAAACCCAAGAATTTCTATCTCTGCCTCCTCTGAGCTCTTCTGGTCAGTACTATACATTTCAGCAACTGAATTATTCTCCAATTAATATCAGTTCTCCCAAACTAGACTGGGAGCTCTCTGAAGACAGCAATCCTCATTCTCTTAGAAACTGTGAAGGGTCTAGCACAGGTCTGCAGACACAGGAGATGATGCTCTCTTGTTGCTCCTCAGCTCTAGCTCTTATTTGTCTCAGAACTCTTCCACTGTGAACTTTGTTAACAAATGTTAACCTTGTCAATGAATATCACAAAATACTTTATACTTTCTAGGTAAAAATAAATAAATGACTATTATGTACTATAATTATATATAAGGATCCCTACAGACTGCATATTAACTTGGTTTTAAAAAGTAATATTAACTGCTTTATTTCATCTTTATTTATTTTGTTCAATATTTTCCAATTACATTTTAATCTGTGTCTGTGGTATTCCGGAGTACTGTGGACCATATATGGCCCATGGATTAGTGGGCAGCATCTTTGATACCTCTGATAGATAAGACACTTGTGTCAAGTGCTGGGAATCTAATGTGATACAAAATACAGTCTTTGTCCACAAGAAATTTATGCTCTAAGGGATAAGACAATTATTAAAAATACCTGTGATATTAGGTCAAAAGTAAAAAATACAAAAGAGAGGTTCATAATAAATTCTATGAGAAGGATTGATGGTGGGACTATGATAATGAAGTCAGTCACAAGAACTGTTAGCAAGAATGATCTAGAACTGTAGACATTGCTACTTACAAAGTATAGAGAGTAGAGGGAATTTGACAGGGACCTTGGTTGAATGGGCAATGTTTGTCCTTTTCGTGACCAAATAATTGATATAAAATTTCAGAGTAGGTTATTCTTCCTCCTAGAAGAGAAGTTAAATAGGCTTGATGGTGTTATTTATTTTTCCTGGTAATCAGGGAGAATGAAGTATTACTTAAAATAAATGGAAAAGGAATGAGAACATGAAGGGTTTTAATGTACAAAAAGAGAAGATAAAGGATCAGAAAATAGAAAGGGAATTCTTGACCTGCTACAGGAGGTTAGAGGGTGGAAGACTGTGATACAGAGGAGAAAGGAAAGAATGAGGATAATTGTTAACAAGGGGTTCAGTAATAGATATGAAGCTTTTCTTTGAAAGGAGGGAGCTGGACCCTTTGAGGAAGAATGTTCCAAGGAATTATAATTTTGAACTGTAGATATCAACAGGTGAGTGATCATCCCATCCAAGAATTTTTTAAGTGCCTATTATGTACACACAACACCATGCTGGTTGGGCTTTAGACCCTACCACAAAAGAGTCTATATTCTACTGGTGTAATATAATATGTATATGTATTAATATACACATAAAAAATTTACTAATTTGGATTACTATTTATTTGACAAACTCAACATGCCATCTCACACTTATTCACTCACACATAATTTCTTGTGATTGGAAAACACTCCTTCATTTCCTCTTGCAAAAATCCTCAACTTCCTTCAAGGCCCAGTGCAAATGAAACCTCCTTCATGAAGAGTTCCTTGATTCCTCCAGGTAAAAGCATTGTCTCTCTCCTCAAATTTTCCTAGTGCACTTTGTTTGATTTCTCATATGCTCATATCATGCTACCTTGTATTTTGTTTACTGTGCTTGTATCATTGTAAGCTTCTTTGGAGCAGGGATTCTATAATTTGTCATCTTCGTATCCACAGTAATAAGTATGTGTGCTAAATGCTTCCTCCTCTTTTTCTTCCTCCTTTTCTTCCTCTTCTTCTTCTTGTTCTCATTCATCTCTTCCTCTTCCTCCTCTTCCTTCTCCTTCTCCTCTTTACCTTCCTCCTCCTCCTTGAAAGTGGTCTATAAAGAACAAAATAAAATAGGAAATAGATATCTAAGATTAACAGGGATAAAGAAAGAGAACATCTAGCTGATATTAGCTCAAGTTGGTGAACTACAACCCAGGATACTAAAAAACACAGTCAGATGATTACTTATCTAATGCCACTAATCTTGGAAAGATCATGGAGAATGAGAGAGTTACCAGAGGACTGGAGAAGGGTAAATGTCTGAATTTTCAAAAATGAGAAGATACTGGAGTCTGCAAACTATAGGACAGTGAATCTGACTTCATTTCCTAGAAATAAAATCTAGAATGTATTATTAAAGGAATGACTATTGAACATCTTGAAATGGAAGCAGTGATCACACAGAGTCAAGATGGACTTATCAAGAATAGGTCATATGAGAGTAATCTCATCTAATCTTTTGATAGAATTATTACAGTGGTAGATCATGTGAGTACTATAGATAGACTTTCTTGTGGACAAGATTAAGAGATATGGGTTAGATAATAGGATCATTAGGTGAATTTGTTGGACCTGTCCAAAAGGTAGGCATTTATGATTTTATTTATTTATTTTCATTTATGATTTTGTATTGATGGAAGGTATCTCTAGGAGAGAACCCTAGGGATCTATGTTGTTAAGCATTTTTATCAGTGATTTAGTTAAAGACATAAATGACACAATTATCAAATTCTCTCATGACACAAAGCCAGGTGGAAGAACTAACACAATAGATGACAGATTCAGGATCCAAAAATATCTTGACAGTCTAGACTGTTGTATTGAATTAAATGAATTGAAGCTTAATAGGAGTATGTATGAAGTTTTACAGTTGCGTGTAAGAAAAAAAAAGATGTATTAGTATAAGATGGGAGAGGTATAGCAAGACAGCCATTCATTTGAAAAAGACATGGGGTTTTTTAGTAGACCAAAGGCATGTATCAGTAGTGTGATCTGGCAGCTAAGTTAAGTGAACATGCTCTTAATAAAATCTACACTAATAAAAGCATAGTGAATAGGACTACATAGATGATTATCTCTGGTATTCTGCATAGTCAGAAAAATCTGGAGTAAGCATGACTGTCAAATTTTAGGAAGGTCACTGAAAAACTGGACATTGATATAGCTGGATAAAAACAACTACATGGTACTGTGTATTGGTCTTGGAGTCAGGAAGATCTGAGTTGACATCTTGCCTCAGATACTTATTGGCTGTGTGACCTTGGGTGAGTCATTTAACCTGCATCTGTTTCTTCATCTGCAAAATAGAGATAATAACAGTACCTACCTCCCAGGGTTGTTATGAGGATAATGAGATAAACCTTAAAGTATTATGTCAATACTTTATTACTATTACTATTGTCTAGAGGAGGGCAACCAGGGTGGCAAAGGGTCTTCATGTCATGCCACGTAAAGAACAATTAAAATAAGTATGTTTAGCTTTGAGAAGACAAGACTCGTGGGGAAAAGATAGTTGGAAAAAACTCAACTAGATTAGACCTACTCTATTTGATTCCATATGGGTAGAACATGGGTGGAATATGCAAAGATGCAAATTTAGATATGATGTCAGGATAAACTCTCTAATTATTACACTTATCCCAAAGTGGAATGAGCTACATTGGCAAAGAGAGGATTCTCCATTATAAGGGGGTCTTCAAACAACAATTAACTAACTAACTAATTAACAATTAACAAATTAATTGTTAGTTGTGACATAGAAGATTATCCTATTCAGGTATGGGTTGGACTAAATTGCCTTTGAGGTTCTAGAATTCTGTGGTACTCAACTCTTACAGTGATTCTGCTCTTAAGAGAAGAATGATTTTGCAGTTTGGAAGGTTAGGAGCAAAAGATAGGATAGGGAACAGAAATGGCAAATAAGTGAAGAGATGAAAAGAGATTACCTTGTTATCTTTAATAAAGTTCGGTCATTTGGCCCTTCCACAGAAAGGTGCCCCAATTAAGAAATGAATTGATAAACTGGAGTTCTTCCGGAACAGGACAGCCAGGATGGAGTAAAAACTTGGAGATTCTGCAATATGAAGAGTGGATGAAGGCAAATAAGGATGTCTGTCCTAGGCAAGAAAAGACTTAAGAGAGACATGAGAGCTATCTTCAAGTATTTGAGGGGCTGCCATTTGAATGAGGGAGTAAGAATTTCTTCTGCTTACCCCAGAGAGCAGAACTAGGGAAGGCAGTTAATATAGAGATAGATTTTGCTCAAGGTAAGGAAAGACTTCCTACCAATTAGAGCTGTCCAAAAGTGAAATGAGTTGCCTCAGGAGGTGATGAGTTTTCCTTTGCTAGATGTTTTCAAGCAGAAGCTGGATATCTATTCGTCAATGATCTTATAGAGGCGTTGTTTTGTCAGATCCAAGTTTGTCTAGACAGACTCTGAGATCCCTTCCAGCCCTGAGCTTTGGTGAGGCTATGATTCAAAACCATATCTCCTGAATCTTGGAACTTATGCCCAAAGCCTTAGGGCACTCAGTTATGCTACTACAACATATATTATTAGCCTCTAGTTTAGAAATAATAATGAAAACTACAACAGCTCATATAGATCATCACAGTTTACAAAGTTCTTAAAGGGTATTGTCCCATTTAGTCCTCACAGCATCCTTAGGAGATAGGTGCTATTGTTATCTCCACTTTACAGATGAGGACAATGAAGCTCAGAGAAATATTCCATGACTTGACCAGTGTGCAATGAACAATTGTCAGTGTTTGTCCCAGGTGCAACAGTTCCTAGTTGTGGCTCTGATATCAGGTCCCACCTCCGTACAATTCATAGTTTGTGAGTGGTTTGTGAGTGCAGAAGGTATGGAAGTGATATTAGAACCTTTTTTGGTGTAAAACTTGTCTTCTTAGAATAATAACGAAGCATTTTGATGGTGTCTGTTTAATTCTTATCTTCAAGTGTGGATCATTGATTGTGTTAGACTGGCACCCACATCTCTTTCCTGAAGCTTGCTTGCTTCAAGACTGCCACTGCAGATGTAAGAATGAGGAAGTGGGATTTTAAAGCAGGGGTTCTGATTTTCTTCAATCATTCAGACAACAGTGCTTCTGGGTTGGGCATTCTTATGAATAATGATAGCCTTATAAGTACGTTGACTAGGCAGCTACCTATATGGTGTGTTGTAAAGGGTGCTCTAGGAAGACTCTCTGTCCCCAAATACTTGGCTAATCCACTAGCCATGTTGTTTGAAATTCTCTAGTTAGAGACCCTTTCCTCTGGACTAAAAATTGCTTTGTAGTAATGTCACAGAGTTTAGTGGGAAGAACACAGGACTGAGTGTCAGGGAACACGGTTTCTATCACTGGTTATGGCATTATCTAATTGTGTGATGGGCAAGTTTTCTTTCAAAGTACAAGTAGTTTAGGGAAGGCGATATATTAAGTCAATTCATTCTAAGACGTTAGTGATTTCTCAGCTCTCTCTCTCTTTTTTTCCTTCCAGGAAGCACTTGGGATAGTGGAAGAGGACTGGGTGTTTCCAGAGAGACAGAAAGGTGGGGGAACAATAAGCAAATTGACATGGAGCAGAGTTAGATTGAAAGGACATTTAGGGGCCAGAAAGGATTGACTTTCCTGAATCCAAAAAATATCCCTCATTGGGAGATTACTAAGGAGGTCATAAATGTACACATAGTACTAGAATTACCTTTAAGATTAGGCTTAGGTTGTTCAAAAGTGAGTAGTTGTTAATATCCTCCATCCCTGACCTTCTCTTTCCCTCTTGTATCCCCCAACCCAAAGTCAGATACATATTCCATTCTTGCTAGATTGTAAACTCCTTGAGAGCTGGGACTGTCTTTTGCCTTTCTTTGTTTTCCCTGCACTTAGTATGGTGCCTGGCACATAGTAGGTGCTTAATAAATGCTTGTTGACTTGACTTGACTTCTTGCTAAACAATCCAGGTGATAAGGGTGGCTTTATGGTTATTAAACCATTATCCCCAACCTCCAATGAATTATTCCCTCTTGGCTGCAGGATAAAACTCAAATTCTATAGCATTACACTCAAGGCCTTTCCCAATACTAACTTTTTCCAACTTGTCTTCCACTACTCCCTTATATCATATCACTCTCCATACCAGCTTGCCTGTGGGTATGCTATTCTCTAAATTTTCTAGCCCACTTCCAGACTGTGTCTTTTGGCCTGGAATATCTTTACTTCTTCTTCTCTGCCTCCCTGAATCCTGCCCAATTAAGTCTCTCTTTTGGACATAGTCTATGCTTATCTTTCCCTAAGCCTTAGGAACAACAGGTTCTCATTAAATGTTTATTGGTTCCCAGGAGCGACTGCTATCCCCCCAGCTGGTATACTTGGAACTAGTCTAGACAGGCATTTAAAAAGGACTATCCAAGCACCTCTGCCTTTGGTCCTGTATTTGATTGCCTTCTGAGTATCACCAAAAACATAACTCATTCCTAGGTCATATACAGCACAGGGAGTAGGAACTATTGGCTATTTGCTGAGATTCACAAATCTGTTCCCTCTGATTTAAATCTTCCTCACTGTCTTGATCTCTAAGCTTTGGGAAAATGGCATTAACCCTCCCCCCTTCCCCAATGAATCACTTATGAAAAATGGTCATTAAGCCTTATTAGAGCTGCACTTGGTAATCCTCTTAGGCTGGCACTAGTTCATGTCAATATGTAATAACTCACCCGAATGAGAGGTTTGAAAATGGGAGCAACTCCTGAGCATGAATCACAGCCTCTCTTTTCCCATTGGAAATCTGCCTCTCAATATTTATAACTTCAGAGGAGCTTAGAGAAGGTTGCCTTTGACCTGGCTGCCCTGGGGTCCCATGAAAGGGATTATTTGCTTCCAGTGGGTAAAGACTGAAGATTTCTTTAGGGTTAAGTTGGGAAGGAGCCCTTTAGCCTTTGAAGTGCTGATGGACTATTCTCACCAGTCATCTTTCCTTGGCTCCTTTCCCAGCATTCCTATGAGAACCATGGGAAAAAGGTGAAGTTTCACCATCCCTTAGGTATGGGGATAAGCAAGCTGAAGTTATGCATATCTAGCACTAGCTCTTCATTGACTAAAGCATCCTGGTGAGACTAAGGCCACGGGATGACATGATCATAGCTGGAGTAAAGAAAGAGAACTTAGAAGTAGTCTAGAACATCAAGACAAACCTCTTTATCTTACAGGGAGAAAACCAAGACCCAGGAAGGCTGGATGCAACATCCAAATGGAGGAGAAGTAGTTTAAGTTTAATTTAATTCATTTGGTACTTACTGAGTTCCTACCATGTGCCACACACAACAAGGGAAACAAAGATAAATCAGACATTGTCTATACCCACAAGGATCTAATATAGAGTATAGGGAGAGAAAATGAATAAGAAAAATAACCAGCCAATTAATAAGGCTTTATTAGGAACCTTCCACGTACCAGTACTGTCCTAGGTGTTATGAGTACAAAGATAAATCAAACAGTTCCTACCCTTAGGGAACTTACACTTCACCAGGGGAGAAAGCATATACATGTATAAATATTTACAAAACAAATACAAAATGATCAATAATACTGGGCGTGCTCTATGCCAAATAAGTGCTTTGAGCCTATAAGGTAAATAGAAGGTTGGAGGAGAAAGATTTCCCTCTGGGTTAGGGTAGTCAGGGGAGGTTACTCACCAGGCTATCAAGAAGAGACAGGTGGATTGTGGGCTGATCCTTGAAGGATGGGTAACATTTGAACAGGCACAAAAAAAAGGGTGGGGTGAATACCATCAGCCAAGGCAGAGATAAAGGGAAGTAAAATGTGGACAGCGAATAGACCTAGGCTCCATAAAAATAATCTTCCTCATTGCCCATCCTGTGGATGATACTGGATCATTTCATTAAGCTGTTAGAACATGAAATTTGGTGGAAAGAGTCAAGGGACGTGAGTTCTAGACTGGACTCTGCCACTGACTCAGTGTCAGCCATGTGATGCTGAGTAAATAATTTCACTTAATGATAATAATACAAATTAGCATTTATATTAGCACCTACTGTGTGCTGGGCTAAGCACTTTATTAACATCCCATTTGATCCTCACAATGATCCTGTGAAGTAGGGTCCCCTAATATTATTCCTGTTTTAGAATCAAGGAACCTGAGTCAAACAGAGGTTGGGTGACTTGCCCAACACAGCTAGTACGTATCTGAGGGCAGATTTGAACTCAAGTCTTCCTTAGGCTGGGCACAGTGCTCTCTATACACTCTGATGTTCATGTAATGCCTGTTCCAGGCATTGTCCCTTTTTAAAATCTCCATTTTTCCCCAATACCTAGTTGCACTTTTTTGGGGTCAGTTAGACTCACCCTACTTAATAGCTCATAGAGTACTTTACAAATTACTTTTCTTGCTAGAAGCCTGTGAAATGAGTGATAAAAGTATAATCATCCCTATTTTACAGGTAAGAAAACTGAGGCTCAAAGTGTTTCTACCACTAGCCCATAGTTAGTAAGTGCTAGAACTGAGATTCAAATCCCATTCTTCTCAGTCTGAATTCAGTGTTCCTACTATACCGACTTATCTTTTTACCTGCTACTATTGTGAGGGTCAAATAAGGTCCTGTAGATGAAGTTCTTTTAAAAGAGTGAAACTTAGTCATACAAATGAGGTTATATTATCATCACTGTTAAAGAACCATCTGATTTAACAGCTTGTCCATGGACAAGTCATGCCTGGGTGGTAGCTATTGTGTTGTTTCAGTCATATCTGACTCTTTGTGACCCCATTTGGGATTTTCTCAGCAAAGATACTAGACGGGTTTGTCATTTCCTTCTCCGTTTTACATATGAGGAACTGAGGCAAACAGGGTTAAGTGACTTGTTCAGGGTCACATAGTAAGTGTCTGAGGTCAGATTTGAATTCAGGAAAATAAGTCTTCAGGCCCAACACTCTATCCACTGCACCACCTAGCTGCCAACCTCCTCCCTCCCCACTCTATGGCACCCATTTCATATTCCATGTTGTGGTGGGGAAGGATTCTCCACTGGGAAAATTATCAAATGCCTTTTTCAGAT